AATTTTAATATATTTAAAGTTTATATGTATGGATAGAAAATTCAGTTATATTACAAAATAATATCTCTCAAAGACAGAAATTCAGATAGGCCCCTATAGATAGGGGACACATACACACACTAGAGTGTGGCTACCCGATCCGAGCCCGACGGGTCCGACAGTAGGCCTGCCCGACGGGTCGGGCCGGGTTCGGTCAAAAATGTATAAATTGTATTCGGGCTTGGGTCGGATTTGGTCAGCTTTCAGTGAACATGTAGTGTAAAAATAAATAAAATCCTATTGTCTGTCCTGTTTATTGCTTGGGGACTGTTATTTACGTGACAACACCTGAACAGAACGCACACATTGGCTGTTTGTTTCTACCTCTCCCCTCGCTGGAAGCCTCAGACCTCCCGCCGTCCGCCTCCGCCTTGATTAAACGCTGAAAATAAAATAAAAGAGGGAGACAAGTTTTCCTATTTTGTCTTATTTTGTTTTATTTCTCCCTCTCCCCTCTCTGGAAGCCTCAGACCTCCCGCCGCCTGCTCCTATCTCAAACACGGAGGTCTCCCTCTCCACGGAGCACCCACAGCGCACGCCCGGCCTGTTAAATGGCCTTTAACCATAACACCTGTGTGACACAAACTCAGTGCTTTAGTAATTAAATAATGTCGGTCTCGGTTTGGTTTCGGACATAACAAAACAGAATGACTGTCGGGTTTGGACAGAAATATGCGGCCCGCGACGCACTCTAACACACACACACACACACACACACACACACACACACACACACACACACACACAAAGAAAACCGGACATTATCATCAATTTATAAACACCTCCCGGACGCCCCGGACAGGACGTGAAAAGTGGACATGTCCGGGCAAAAGGATAGCAGCATGGTGCTTTTGTGGTGGCCGACTAGCATTGTGTAACGCTAGGACAAGTGTGTCTTTTTTTTTTCCATCAGTGACAACGTTTGTCATTAGTGACAACTTAGTATTGACTGTGAGCTAATTTTGGTGTAGGCTATTCATCATTATCATTGCTAGTGTATTTTTTTCTCCTTAACTGTTTAATGATATTTAATGATACTGAACTGCCGTCTGCTAGCATGGCTAATCCAGAAGCATCAAAGAGACGCAGCATGGCCTCACACGGTCCTCCTACAAAACTAAAAAAGGTGGACACTTGGGCTCTTCAGGTTGGCACTCTTACATCTGATTTGCCCAGATTAAAAAGCTCCTGCTCAATCTTCAACCTGATAATAGGGGGCCAGCTCCCAGTGGTGACTCCACCACAAGAGACTGGCCTTGTCAAGAGGATGATATGCTATCTACTGCAGCATCCTGCAGTTTGTTTACAGATAAGGAGGAGGAAGCTCAAGATTTGAATAGAGACCCAGCCTCCATGACCTCAGGCGCTTTTTTGCAAGGGTCCGATGTTGGGTCATTGCATGGATCTGAAGTTGGTTGTGCTACAATGTAACCAGTTATTGGAATGGCTTTAGCACGCCTGGGGCTAGATGAATCTCCGGTGGCAGCAGCTCATTCAGTGCTTTTTTCAGCCAGACGCTACAGCCCTTTGCCTTTTCGGTTCCTCTATCCAAACCTTACATTGAGGAGCTCCATAAGTGTTGGGCAGATGCTAAATTCTCATCACACCAGTGATTGCAGGAACTTGGCTGCCATGCAGGAGGCAGGTAGCTATGGGTTAGATCATATGGACCCACTTGAGCCTACCATTGCCTCTTTGATAGTTTCCCCAGATGAGGCTCTTACACCTGATGTTTGCTGTCCTTGTCCTTGTGTCAACTGACAGATCATCTCCTTGCTAAGAGTTATAATATAGCAGCACATATGGGGCATCTTGGTAACTCCCTTTCTCACCTCATCCTGGCTTTGTTTCAGACCCTGTAGGAATCTGGTGCAGACTCTTCTGCCCAGAACCTTAGTGTTGCATCCCTTCAGACTTTTGCTTTCATGTCTAGGGAGCTTGGCAGGTTAATGTCAACAGTGACACTGGTTTGCCATCAGGTCTGGCTTGCACAGCCCCCCCCCCTGTCAGAGGCGTGTTATTACACCCTCTGCACCCTTCCAGTGGTTCAAACTCAGCAACAGGGAGAGGGAGACCACAGACCCTTTGGTGGTGTCCAAGGGATACACATTACAGTTCTGATGCCAGCCACCCACTTTCTGTGGGGTCAGAATATCTGTGGTTGATATCCTGCAAAATCCCTGGCCCTCAGCCAGGAATTAGCAGCCCTCTTAGAAAAAGACGCCATCGAGCCTGTAGAATGGCATACATGGCTCAGTGGGTTTTATTCAGTGTATTTTTTAGTTCTGAAGAAGGATGGCGGGTTTCGTCCAATCCAGGACCAGAAGGGTTTGAACAGATTTTTAAAGCTTCTGCTGTTCCAAATGTTATGGATAGCAAATGCTCTCCATTCAGTGACGGGGGGGCCTGGTTTCTGTCAGTAGAGCTCAAGGATGGCTATTTTCACATGCCTATTGCACCACACCACAGGCAGTTCCTGAGATTTGCGTTTCAGGGACAGGCCTGCCAATTCGAAGTGTTGCCATTAGTTCTTTCACTGGCCCCCGAATATTCACGAGGTGCGTGGCAGCCACCCTTTCTCCCATACAAGCCAGAGGGTTAACAGTCTTACCATACCTGGATGATTGGCTAATCATTTCCCCAACAGCAGAGCAGGCAATCCGAGACACAGCTACGTTGCTTGGCCATGTGAGCCAGCTGGGCCTTACAGTGAACTACAACAAGAGCAAGCTTACACAAAGTCAGATTCCCCTAATTTGGGCGACGACGGGCCAGAATCCCCTCCTGGCATCCTGTGACCAGTCCGTGATCCATACTGTGTTAAGTTCGAGGGCTCCCTACACTAGGCCATCATTCTGCGTCCCATCATTCTGCCCCCCGCCCCCCCCCCCCGCCATTTGAGCCACTGGGGCAGATCGTATTGAGGTGGTTGTCTGCTAGGACAGCATTTTTGCTTGCTATCACATATGCAATGTAAGTGGGGGAACTGGTTCAGGGGTTACTCTCCTACCAAATCCATCCTTCCTGCCAAAGAGAGTACCTTCCTCATGTAAACCAAGCCACCGAGTTGGCAGCATTTAATCCACTGGGTTCATCTCAGGGGGCAGAGGTGCCCTCTGAGCTACTGTGCCCACTTGGGGCACTCAAGACATACGTGGAAGCCACTGCCAGTTCACTTAAGACTGACCAACTTTTTGTTTGCTATGGGGGTTGTAAGAAAGGTACACCCCTATCAAGACAGAGACTTTCTAACTGGATTGTGGATGTGATTCTACACGGTTACAAGGCCTGCCAGCCCCTAGTAATGTGAAGTGTCTCTCTACTCTGAGTGTGTCCACATCCAGGGCAGCATTGAAAGGGGTCTCTCTCTCAGACATCTGTGCTGCCGTGACTTGACCTGTTGTAACGATCCACCCTGTCCTCGTTTTGATTATTTGTTTATTTTTGGGAGTCACACTGACACACGTCAGACAAAAAGTCAAGTGACGTCATACGCTCATCAAGCAGCACACCTGCGGGAGCACAAGCTGGTTCAGAGCTCACCTTATCGGCAGGAGAGACAGAAGAAGTGTCTGGTGTCCGCTGTAGCTCCGCATCCCGCGGATCAGATCCAAATCAAGTCGGGGTAGTGCAGTCCCTCGCGCCTGCTTCCTTCAGCGGACTCCTGGCTCTTCTTACTGGATCCCGTCTACTAAATCGGCGGATCAGCTGTCAAACTCTGGGGATGATCGCCGCCACTGACAGACTAACTGACTGACTGATTGACAGAGCAGACACATGCCATTTCCACTGTGACTCTGTGAGTACTTTTTTTTTTCTTTCTTTTTTTTTTTTTTAAAAAAAAGAAACAGAACATTTCCTTTGATTGGTGTGTTGCTGGAAGAGGATTTTTTGTTGACTTGTGGGGACATTGGTTTTTTTGTCTTCTATCCTGGAACACTGAAGAGGTTTTTTTTGTGTGGGAAAGAGACAAAGTGATTTCTAGACTGTTAGAATTTCTTGTTTAATATACATTTCCTCTGATTTAAAAAGCAAACGTGTTGGGTTTCATTCTTCTTGTTTTTGAGTGGTTGTTAAGTTTTATGCTTAATCATCCTTTGTGTGGGTTTTGAAGTGAGAGAAAACATGTGACTTGACTAAAAAAAAAACGACTTTTGTCAGGCAAAACCTGACTGGCACCCCAGAAAAAAAATAGAAGAAAAATAATAAAATCAAATAAATAAAGTCTCTCTGACTAAAGGAAATAAAACCGTCACACTGTACCTTCGCTCGCTATTACCGTGTCAATGTGGCTACCCCTACAGCTGTGGCAGCAGCCGTCCTGTCAAAGGCTCCAGTCCCTTACCTGGTAAGCATTCCTTGTGACCTTGCTGGTGATGGATGAAATAATTAGAGTTTGGTAGTCCAAAGTCAAGGATCAAGGTCACCGTAACCTGGTCCATTCCATTCTCATAAACGCAATTCCTCAAATTTGGCACAAACGTCCTCTTGGACTCAACAATGAACTGATTATATTTTGGTGGTCAAAGGTCAAGGTTACTGTGACCTAAAAAAACACGTTTGCCCATAACTCAAATGTCTAATAGGATAAATGATAAAGTGGTGACATTTTATATTCAAAAGGCCAAAGGTCAACTTGACTGTGCCATCATGATGTTCTGCAAAAACACTTTTCTTGCCATTATTTAGTGTCATGTATCAGGGGGACACATTTGGTCTGATACTGAAGTGGTGACAGTAATCTTGGATGTCCACCTTGAAGCTGTGTTGATTGTATAGATCTTCTGAGCTGTCAAGGGGAAGATGTGTGTGAGGCATCCATGTTTTAGACTTTGTAGCTGCTTTAAATTAACATCCATAATTTGAAGCATTTTCTACTGTCACAGTGACATGTGAGTCTTGACAAAGTAAACTGTAATTGTAACTTGACTGGCTCAAGGAAGCATACAACCACAAGGCAGTAATTCTGGTTGGTGGTTATTATTGTCCTTCAAAGGCCTATATTGAACAATGTAACAAATACCTTGAATTCTTAGAAATATATTGACCAAATTTGTTATGCAAAACATGCCCTCTATGGGACATGACACCTTTAGGTCAAAACACATGGCACACTGAGACATGTTGCAATGTTCCAGAGGTGTGCAGCTGCTTATCATTTAGTGTGTCATGTCTGTATAGTGTCCTCTTGCTGGCCGGCTCTCAGTACAGAGGTAGCAGATCATACACCACACACTGTGCTCTGGAGAGATCTGGATTCCACTGCTGCTCCGGAAAGGCCTCAGAGCACAGGAACCTGTTGACACAATGCAAGCCAGATAGAAGTCACAGAGAAATGTATACTCACTGAAACTTAGTGTGTTAGGTTCATTCTAACGGCCATTCCTATAAGTCTCAGAATAAATGCAGTATGAAAGTTATAATAAGTCAATACAGACAGTCAGATTTTTTGAGATACAAAGTGAAAAATTAGATTTTCTAAGTTTTGAGATGCTAAATCAAAATGAACAGAGGTGGGACCAAGTCATTGTTACACAAGTCAAAGGTAGGCTAAGTCTCAAGTCTGGAGTCAAGTCCCAAGTCAAGACAGGCAGGTTCTGAGTCATAAACTTTAGGTTTTAAGTGCTAAACAAGTCATTATGTGCTCTTGAGCAAATGTAATGCCATTTTAACAATAGAGTAATAATATATGAAATCTCCAAGATCATGAATGCTTTTTAAAATGTGTATTTATTTCCTAAACAAGTTTCTTAAAACAAGAGTGACTGACCTTCAACTAAAAAAAATACTCCTCTCATAGCATACAGCACTATTGTGCACTATTGTGCACTGTGTATTATACCAGTACCACAACAGAATAATATTTGTATTTTCCTATCCTGTCTTGTTGTATCGTGTAAATGTAAATGCCCTGAACATACTTTTTAATCTTTGGGCTTCGGGAAAGGTGTCAAGTGCTTCAAGTCAAAAGGCTCAAGTCCAAGTGAAATCACAAGTCATTGGTGTTTAAATCCAAGTCGAATAGCAAATTTTATTTGATTTTTCAATTTGAGTCTAAAGTCATCAAATTTGTGACTCAAGTCCACACCTCTGATGATGAATTCTCAAAAATTATACAAAATCAATATTATAAGATGAGTTAAAATTATGATGGTAAGTTTTGCATCCAAGTGAATCAAACTGTAGAGGAGCACGGGGAAACATGGGATTTTTAAATGGTTACAAAGGGTTGATTCTTTCATGCTTCCGGCCAGATAACCATAATATCGCCATACAGTCACCTAAGAAATTGCAGTGAGATTTGACGTGTTTCAGCAGAGTTCAGTAACTACAGTCAGGTCCATAATTATTTGGACAATGATACAGTTGTTGTCATTTTGGCTCTGTACACCATCACAATGGGTTTTAAATGAAACAATGAATACCTGCTTAAAGTGCAGACTCTCAGCTTTCATTTAAGGCTTTTTTCAAAAATGTAGTATGAACCGTGTAGGAATGACAACCATTTCTTCACACAGTCCCCCGACTTTAAGGGCTCATAAGTATTTGGACAAACTAACATAATCATCAATTAAACAGTCAGTTTTAATACTTGGTTGCAAATCCTTTACAGTCAATGACTGCCTGAAGTGTTGGACACATAGGCATCATCAGATGCTGGGTTTCTTCCCTGGTGATGCTCTGCCAGCCCTTTACTGCAGCCGTCTGCACTTCCTGCTTGTGTTTTGGGTGTTTTGCCCTCAGTTTTGGCTTCAGCAAGAGAAACGCATGCTCAGTTGGATTCAGGTCAGATGATATGACTTGGCCATTGCAGAACATTCCACTTCTTTGCCTTAAAAATGTCTTTGGTTGCTTTTGCAGTATGCTTCAGGTCAATGTCCATCTGCACTGTGAAGCATCGTCCAATGAGTTTTGAAGCATTTGGTTGAATCTGAGCAGATAATGGTGCCCCAAACACTTCAGCTTTCATCCTGCTGCTCTTGTCAGCAGTCACATCATCAATAAATACAAGAGAACCAGTTCCACTGGCAGCCATACATGGCCATGACATAACAGTACCTCCACCATGCTTCACTGATGAGGTGGTGTGCTTTGGATCATGAGCAGTTCCTTCCCTTCTTCCTTCTCTTGTCTTCCCATCATTCTGGTAGTTGATCTTTGTTTTATCTGTCCATAGTATGCTGTTCCACAACTGTACAGGCTTTTTAGATGGTTTTTGACAAACTCTAATCTGGCCTTCCATTTTTAAGGCTAACCAATGGTTTGCATCTTGTGATAAACCCTCTGTATTTATTCTAGTGAAGTCTTGTCTTGCTTACAAGAGCAGCAGGATGAAAGCTGAAGTGTTTGGGGCACCATTATCTGCTCAGATTCAACCAAATGCTTCAAAACTCATTGGACGATGCTTCACAGTGCAGATGGACATTGACCTGAAGCATACTGCAAAAGCAACCAAAGACATTTTTAAGGCAAAGAAGTGGAATGTTCTGCAATGGCCAAGTCATATCATCTGACCTGAATCCAACTGAGCATGCGTTTCTCTTGCTGAAGCCAAAACTGAGGGCAAAACACCCAAAACACAAGCAGGAAGTGCAGACGGCTGCAGTAAAGGGCTGGCAGAGCATCACCAGGGAAGAAACCCAGCATCTGATGATGCCTATGTGTCCAACACTTCAGGCAGTCATTGACTGTAAAGGATTTGCAACCAAGTATTAAAACTGACTGTTTAATTGATGATTATGTTAGTTTGTCCAAATACTTATGAGCCCTAAAAGTCGGGGGACTGTGTGAAGAAATGGTTGTCATTCCTACACGGTTCATACTACATTTTTGAAAAAAGCCTTAAATGAAAGCTGAGAGTCTGCACTTTAAGCAGGTATTCATTGTTTCATTTAAAACCCATTGTGGTGGTGTACAGAGGCAAAATGACGACAACTGTATCATTGTCCAAATAATTATGGACCTGACTGTATGTGTTATAACTAACAATGAATCCCACCCATGGGGTACGTTGTAACATTTCACTTCCACCACTTCTCGGTGCAATTGTAGAAGAAAGGTAAGTTCTAGAAAGAAAAAAAACAACAACTGTTCATTTGTAGCAGAGATGTGCATGTTATTAGAATAAAACAAATTAATAATTAACCTCAAACAGTTTAAATAACATTTAGCAAAAAACAAAATGTGTTGGCTTGTGCCCGCTCTCTCCTACTCCACTACTGTCCCCAGAGGATAGGTTCCAATAATTATGTTGCTCCCATGATCTTTCCTCTCATGCCACAGGATCCATCAGATTTCCATTTGAATATGCGGTATCATCAGAATCTACTGGGGCCTGCTCAGCAAGTTTAACTGCAGTTGAGGCTTAAATTGGTTGAGCACAAATTAATTTATTTTTAATCATCCTGTAGCCTTTCCTCTAACCCCACTCTTAAACCCAAATGATCACATGCTCATTTATGAGGAGGGAAACTTTAATTTGGAGATTACCTATTCTGTAACAACATCCTGAAGACCAGTATTTTTTTTATTCTTCCGAAGTCTGTATTTATGTCCACTTAACAGGAATTCCCCTTAATTCTTACACTTAATTTGCAGTATCTAAATTGATCATAATACAAATATTTACCAAGGATGAAGTATGCAGCAGCACTGAGGGAGAGGATGATGAGGAAGATGGTGCCTAGACCCAGATCTCCCATGGTACAGGCATTTGGACAAGCACAGGGGCTCTCCACCCAGATCTGCAGGGGCCCCTCAGTGCTCAGGCTCTGGTCACGGATGAAAGAAGTGGACAGATTTGGATTACAGTGGTAATGCACCACTGTTAGCGGCTGCTGGTCATGAACTGGGACAGAAGGAGAAGAAGATTAGCTATCAGGTCAGCACCCTACAGTGACAATGATCAGTGACATCAATCATATGTAATGTTGGTTTTTTAGCTCACCAAAGTATGAGACAGACAGCATCTTCAGGGTGTCATTGTAGTTGAATTCATTCCCTTCATGTCTTCCATAGCTGATATAACGGCTAATGTATTGGTTGAGCCTGTGATACCTGTTTACATAGTCAAATATCACAAAACAGTGAGGGATTCACCTGACAGATGAGTGGAGCAGAAAGACAGGATTTTTTTTTAAAAAAGATTCAACCTAAGGATGAATTCAATCCACTAACTGCCATTGCAATACTCCCAACCATGTCCAACCCCGATTCTAAAAAAGTTGAGACACTGTGTAAAACATAAATGAAAACAGGATGCAATGATGTGCAAGCATTTTTTGACCTGTATTCACATTGAATGCAATAATTAATATATATTAAATGTTCAAACTGATAAACTTTATTGTTTTTGTAAGTATAGACTTACTCTGAATTTGATGCCTGCAACATGTTCCAAAAAAGGTGAACAAGGACAACAGAAGACTGGGAAAGTTGTGAAATGCTAAAAAAAAACAGGATAATTCTACAGGCAATCAGGTTAATTGGGAACAAATGATAGTATCATCAATAGGTATAAAGGAGCATCTTGAAAGGCTCACTTGTTCACAAGCAAGGACAGTGCAAGGTTCACCACAAAAACTGTGTAGGCAAATAGTTCAACAGTCAAAGAACAACGTTTCTCAATGCACAGTTGCAAAGAATTTAAGGATTTTATCATCTACAGTACATAACAACACCAAAAGATGTAGAGAATCAGGAGAAATCTCTGCATGCAAGGGGCAAGGCTGAAAACATCACTAACTGGCTGTGATCTTTGATCCCTCAGGCAGCACTGCATCAAAAACTAGCATGACTGTATAAAGCATGTTACCAGATGGGCTCAGGAACACTTTGGAAAACCACTGTCAGTAAACACAGTTTGTCGCTGCATCTACAAATGCAAGTTAAGTCTCTACCATGCAAAGTGAAAGCCATATATCAACAACATCCAAAAAAACTACAAACTTCTCTGGACCCGAGCTCATCTGAGATGGACTGACACAAAGTGGAAAAGTGTGAAGTGGTCTGACGAGTCCACATTTCAGACTGCTTAAGGAAATCATGGACGTGGTGTCATCTGGTCGAAAGAGGAAAAGGACCATTCAGATTGTTCCCAGCTCAAAGTTCAAAGCCAGCACCTGTGATGGTATGGAGGCGTGTTGGTGCCCATGGCATCATGTCCATGTCCAGCAAAACAATGAGACATATTCTGCGTGTTCCAACAGCGTGGTTTTGTAGCAAAAGAGTGCAGGTACTAGACTGACCTGCCTGCAGTCCAGACCTGTCTCCCACTGAACATGTGTGGAGCATAATGAAGTACAAAATATGACAACAGAGACCCCAGACTGTTAAACAACTGAAGTGGTATACCAAGCAAGAATAAGAAAGAATTTCACTTTCAAATCTTCATCAATTAGTGTCCTCACTTCCCAAACACTTACTGAATGTCATTAAAGGAAAAGGTGATGTCACACAGTGGTAAACATGCTCCTGTCCCAACTTTTTTGGGACTTCTTGCAGGCATTCATTTTAGAATATGTGTTAAAGGGGTTTTTCTGGGGAGTTTTTACTTATCCACTGCGAGGGTTCTAAGGACAGAGGGATGTCATATGCTGTAAAGCCCTGTGAGGCAAATTGTGATTTGTGATATTGGGCTTTAGAAGTAAAATTGATTGATTGATTATTTACAAAAAAAACAATAAAGTTTATCATTTTGAATATCAAATATCTTGTGTTTATACTGTATTCAATTAAAGATAGGTCAAAAAGGATTTGAAAAACATTGTGTTATATGTTTATTGACATTTTACAGAGCATTCCAACTTTTTCAGAAATAAGGTTGTATGTGAGGGCCAGGGGTCAAACCCTTTTGGGGCCCTATGCAGAAATTCAGCCTTCCTGTCCCATCCCAATGTCACTCAGGCAGACACATATAGTGTAAACAAACATTTTACAAATAATTCACAGACTGTCTTAAAATCAACTTTTCAGTGTGCCATATGTGCACCTGAATCAAGCACATTTATTGAAGGAAACAACTGTTTATACATCAGTATATATTACAGTTTCTTTTCATTATTATGGAAAGTGTTATATGACAAAGACACAGAAGGCTTTATATTTTCAGCTTGTGTGTTTAAGTGCTCCCTGGTGGCCACTGTCCCCCTCAACAGCTGCTTTGTTTTAAAGAGGAGTGAAATGGAAAAAATCAACAAAGATCAGAACTGCACCAAACAACATCACATCTCAGAACGTATTGTCAAACTTTATCCACATTACTTCCAGAAATGTGGTACCATTGTTCGACTCCACAGCAATATAAAAGAAACATTGTACTTTTTTCTCCATGGCTTTTATTAGAGAGCTGTAGTTACCTTTTTTAGTTACTTTTAGGATCCAAAAAATATAATCATCTTATAAAATACAGTGCATCGATAAAGATTAAACCAGTTGTTGTCAATATTTTCTTCTTCTGCTTTTGTACATTACTTATTTTTGAATGCAGGACTTTTACTTGTATCATAGTATTATACATGTGGCATTGGGACATCTAATTAGGTATTTGATCTGAATATGTCCACCACTGTCCAAAACCAGAGGCACTGATAGAAGTCACATCAATCTGATAAAAAACAATTATCTCTACCCTGAACATAACTTTGCTTTGAAGTAGAAAATTGCAGCAATTAGTCATTTGAGTTATTTTGAGAGGATGAAAGAGTGTAGACATTCTGCTTTTGCCTTCACCCAAATTTAAGCTTCATTATTAAAAAAAGAAGAAGAAAGAGGAAAAGAAAAGAAACTAGCTTTCCCCAAACCCGCAGAGGATGAATCTTGACTTCAGCAGCATATTCACAGTCAGAGCAGACAAACCGCTGATTGAAGTTTACAAGCATGACCACCAGCCAGTCAATGTTCTGATGCATGTTTTCAAAAATCATTTCTTTACCATGAGATCAACAAAACATTGAAACATGCAGAACAGGGTCAAAAACAGTAGTTCGGTACAGATACAACAAACAATTTTAGATTATTAATCAACCTAATCACCAGAAAAAATGTTGGCATTGTACATTTCTGCATACAATGGTCATGTTACTTTTGCATGTTATAATGTATATGTTAAAACTTTACATTTTAACAACGCTGTGGCTAACGTGGTTAGGTTTACCCACAAAGACCACTTCATCAGATCATGTTTTGGCTTAAAATACCTAGTTTCGGGGGCACAACCCATGCTGGACAAGCAGCAATGTCTCTGTAACAAATGCTTTTTATACCTCAAAACTCACTGGAAAAAATAGTGACATGTCGCTAAAGAAGCTGCTGGTTTTCTTGTTTATTTGCAGTGGTCTGTAGCTTAGCAGGCACCTCGCCTAGGTGTCACGTCATTCACCATCCCCTTAACCTCTAGATGACAAAGCCAGCTCATATGCTACATCACTTTAAAAACGTTGATATGACGCGTATTAAATATACAAATATGCACCACCTACTTTGGAAGACTGGTACGGAATAATTTTAAAAATATTTAAAAAAGAAAAAGTTGACCTTCTCTTTAAGAATCCAAAACAACAAATTCTATAAAATCTGGAATACATGGTTCCAATGTATAACCCCATTAAGAGCAGAATTTGTTTGGAGATGGGCAGTTATGCATGTGTATGATAATGAGTATGCGTATATGCACAGAAGTGTATGTGTAAGTATGAGCGCATGTGTGCAGATGCTTTTTCTTAATTTTCTTAAACAAAAATTATCAGAAGGAGGAAACAGGACTGAGCAGAACAAAAGAAAAAATAGAACTAGCCTACTCTGTACATTGAGCTAATTCTGCATTACACAAGCATGTGTTATTGTAAGTAATGTATGTATTATGCTGTTTTAATTTTTCTGTAATTTTTTTCTTTTCTCTCTTTTAATTTTGTTAAAAAACACAAATAAAAAAGAAAATTACAAACCTTCAGCAACTGGGCCATTAGCTGTTAGAGGATAAAGCTGGTTATATTCCATGTTTTCCTTATTGTTACTGATGCAATAGAAGAAGCTAACAATGAATGTATCCTACTGACAAGTATGTGTGTATCAAATATGTGTGTATCAAAGCCTGACATATCGTATTCCTCTCAATCTGAGAAATGAGTGTTGAGATTTAGCTTTGATTTGGCCAGTGCCCCACATTTGTCCAAAGCTTTGTGCAGCAGATGAGGTAGCTGGATAACCTTCATCTCTTATTGCAGAGACAGGGATATGAAGACTTGCAAATGTCCAGGAAAGGTGTGGCTGTAAGCAGCTGTATGCAAAGGTTCTGCAAAGGTAGCCCACATTTGCATCCAAAAAATCTGCATTGAAAAGGCTGAAAAAGTCAACATAACTACATGAACATATACTGTGAAGTGTCCACTCTACCTGAAAATGAGGCATGCAGCGACATAGGTACAGTCAGCTCCTGTCAGATCCTCTTGCTGTGAGAAGGGCTGGCAGGGGCTGAAGGACAGGAGAATCTCTGCACTGACTGCCATGCTCTCTGCTGACACAGGCGTCAACTGCCCCAGGAAACCCTTTGCATCTCCCATGGCTTTCAGGTTTATCACCCCACTGCCATCCTTCATGATGCATTTGCAGCTGTTGACTTTGAAGCAGCCTGACTTCTTAGCTGAGTTGGGATGAGAGGACAGAGATGAGGAAAACATGTTGAAACAAACTGAGAGCATGATGAAGACAGTTGGAAGGCTCATGGTGACAGTGTGCACCAGTGCACAGGACAGTGACACTATGTGTGTTGTTAATTAACTAAAAAGCAGCTGACAGCGTGGTGATGTGAGGAAAGTAATTAGAATAAAGGTGATTGCCATTCCAGACATTCCTAAGGCCCATAGTGTTCAGATGTCTTTCCAAAAACAGCAAAACACGGGAGTGCAACAATAGTAGGAGGCATTACAGAGGGTAAGGACTGTGGACTGTCAAGAGTAACCAGGATACTATTCCCGAAAACACATACTGCACTTGATTTTTGCAAATGTTTTTATTCATTTATTTAACCCACTTTTGACCAGATAAGTCCCACTGAGATCTCTCTTACAAGGAAGACCTGGCCAAGACAGCAGCATACAAAAGTTACAGCAGTTACAGCCCAAACAACACATTTAGCTTTAAAATCAGTCAGAGAGGCCAATTCATGTAGTTATTCCAAGTGAGAGGAGCAAAGCACATAAAAGCTTTTTTTCCCAGCTCAGTCCGTGCACTGGGAACAGACAACAAAACTAAGTCCTGAGATCTAGCTACAGTCAGAGTGCTACTAAACACATCACCATTGCACTGGGAGAGATGCAAATAGCTTAACACCTGGACAAATAAAACCAAAACATCCATCATCAATGGAGTGCAGTTGACATGGTTTTCAGTGGAAGAAAGCAGAATTAAAAGCCGAGCCACTTATTCATCCCAACTGAAGACTTCAAACATGTCTTCAAAAAAAAAAAAAAAAAATCTAATGCTACAGCATGAGGTGTGATGGGAAAAGATTGCAGAGCATGTTAATAGGTAATATGAAGTGATGCTATGTAATGTGATGTGTTAATGTCTAATAGTACAGAAAAAATATATCAACGTTTTTCTATATTGACAGTGTTCATGTATGTTAATATAATTTGCTATATCTTCTTATTCAGCTGTAAAGTGATGGGGCCCAAACGCACTGGGCAGCAACTCAAAATCAAACACAAAAATATTGTACAGACTGGTAAAAGTTTTACTTATCTTACTACATAATGACGAAAACTCTGTCTGTCTGTGGGTGTGTCAGTTCCATGTTTTTCTCCTCACTGACTTGGTCAATCCATGTGAAATTTGGCACAGTGGTAGAGGGTCATGGGAGGATGTGAAAGAAGCAATATTACATCAATTGGCCAAAGGGGGTGCTATAGCAACCGACTGAAATTGCAAACCTTGAATTTGCATATTTCATGCCTTGTATATCGTAGAGACATGAAACTTTGCACAGAGATGCCTCTCCTCACGAGGAACAAATTTGCCTCAAGAACCCATAACTTCCGGTTATATAGATTTTCAGCCTTTTTCAATTTTTTGAAAAACACTTAAAGGCAAGGCAAGGCAATTTTATTTATATAGCACCATTCATACACAAGGCAATTCAATGTGCTTTACAAGAGAAATACATTAAAATAAAACATTAAAGGAACAATCGATCTCTTCCTAGGAAGTTTGACCAATCTGCATGAAACTCAGTGAACATAATCTAGGGACCAATTTTTATTTATTTTTGTTTTTTTTTTTATATACTTTATTAATCCCCGAGGGGAAATTCAATTTTTCACTCTGTTTGTCAATTACATACAGGTCTGAACACACACATGCACAAACTGGACCTATACATGCACTAAGTGGAGAGATGTCAGAGTGAGCTGCCCATGACAGGTGCTCCGAGCGGTTCGGGGTTCGGTGCCTTGCTCAGGGGCACCTCGGCAGTGCCCAGGAGGTGGACTGGCACCTCTCCAGCCACCAGTCCACGCTCCATATTTTGGTCCGGACGGGGACTTGAACAGGCAACCCTCCGGTTCCCAAGTCCCTATGGACTGAGCTACTGCCACTTAAAGTCTAAAGGTCCCTCTTGGCAAAAGTTGGAAAACTCACTAAAACTGAGCTTCTATAAGGTAATGAATATTGCGGAGGGGGTGGCTCATCACATAAAGGTGTATAACATCTCAAGGGTTTCACTGTTCACCACGCAACTTTGTAGGCATATGACCACACATAATCTGAGGGGACCCCTCCATTATTGACCGAACAAACAAAATGGGGGCGCTAGAGAGCTAATTTCTTATCTATTTCACAATTTTAGAGATTAAGATTGTATTTGTCTGATCTGAAGGTTTATTCTGTGAACAGAAAACATGTTGTGTGACTGATGGTGAAGTTTAGTTGTCAGAGACTGAATACATTCATCATAAACTATACAGAGTCTACTGTACTATATTAATATTGGACGGTTTAATTATTGAAGTATTTAGCAACACAGAGACTTGTGGTCAGTGGGATGTGAGGATTCTTAAAATAAAACCTGTGAAGTCCTGACTGTATCTGACTGAGCCTTAATGAAAGCTGTTGTCTGTATTTTATTTTTTTTTATTAACCTTATAGTCAAACACATTTTATTCAGCTTGTGTAATTGAGGAGACAGGTCAAACTGATATGATGCTGATTTACAGGAGAATTCATGTCAAATGGAGGATAAACCATGAACATAAACAGATCACCTGTAAAGCATTTTAATAAATTAATCTATCATAATTAAAACAACTGGAGACTGAAAACAAACTGATATATGGGTCTGATCACTTTTTAATGAACTGACATCATTCCAGACAGGATCATAGATATATATACATAGATGCCGCCATGGATGCCGCACCCTGGCTTGTGGGATGCGTCAATACCGCCGCCATCTTGCCTAGGTGCTCTGACCTGTTCAGACCCGTGTCAGACTCGGCAAAAATGCCACATTTTTTCTCTGCATTTGGGTGTACGAACGAAAGAAGTGTTAAAACCAAGCAGAAGGGAATAACATTCCACAGGTAAGAAGTTGTTTTACAATATTTTACTGTTACGAAAATGTTTAATGAGATATATATCTCAAAAAGTGATCCTTCTTTTAAGCTAATCAAGTAAAGTAGCCTAACTGTCCTGATCTGGTCCTAATGCCAAATTAAGCTAACACTATGTCACACAACTTAAAGAAAAAGGTTAACATTTATATAATATTACTTATAAAATTATGATGCTTTGTCAAACAGCTATGTCGGTGTATGTGTTATTCCAAATTGTCAACTAGGCCTATCTGTTTCATGGCACCAACGTGACATAACGCAGAATAACGTTAGTAATTGTGGCCTGAATCGTAACTACAAATGATGTGGAACTGCGTTTTTCTGACACACTTATTTTGTGTGTAGTTTCCCAAAAAACACAGAAAGGAGACGGGCATAGGTAGCAGCAGTGAGGAGAAAGGACTTTGTCCCGAGTGACTCCTCAGTCATCTGCAGCTGTCACTTCAGACCTGAGGACTTCGACAGGACTGAGCAGACTCCTAAAAATAATACTAGCTACTGTACACTGTATTTTTTGTAAATATGACCTAATAATGTAAACAGTTCTGTGTCCAGGCTCCCATGAGCACTGTGGTGTTATACATATGAGATTAAAGCAAAATTTTGTGTAAACATGCAGCTCTAAGTCATTTATTTTCACTTGTACAAAACCAACATTTGTTAATCAGAATCTGCACTGCAGCTCGGCACAACCCTGCTGATACACTATTTTTTGCACATTGTGTGAAATGTGAATAAACATTTATAATCAAAATTAATAATTAAATGACATCATGGTGGGCATTGTACATCTAGTAAGAAAAAAAAAATTTATTACATGGGGAAAGTTTAGTTTAAATGTATTGTAGAACTATTACTGTTACTTTATCTACATAAGATCAAATATTTTGGTATGAAAAGCTGCATTTTTTATTTAACCAAGTATCCTGTATCATAACTACATGTCTTACGATTGTAACAAACCAAACCGCATGAAAATCGGTTGAGAATTCAGCGAGTAATGATGATTTTAATCATAAATAATCTCCTACCTCAATAGACATACATGCATTAGGCAGTGCGGCTCCACCTGGACATGATGGCGGCCGCGTTGACGTATCGCTCCAATGAGGAGCACCGTTGAATGCGGCTTCTACGTATATATATCTATGAGACAGGATGTTAGTGTGTCTGTGACTTCCTGGACGGACTGAAGGCTGCTGGAAACTGCCGGGAAACTGTCCGACTTCACCGCAGCTTTTTGTCACCGCCCCCCGCTGCGGCCGCCTGCTCTCGTCTACTTTCCAGGCGAGGCGCAGTTCATCTCTGACGAGCCTAGTAATAATGTGGTTCAGCATTAAAGCAGCTCGACGTTACACTCGATATCTGTTGCTGTAAATCCTTACCGCACAACGCGACTTAATTCACCAAAGGACACGCAATGTCTCTCATTCTTGCTACACGCTCAGCGAGTGATCAGCCTCTAGATGACGCAAACCTGCGAGCCAGCAGGTTCAACGGAGTATGTTGCCATAGTAACTGACTCAGTGTTAAACTGAACTGGCTTTGTGAAACTGAAAAGTCAGAATTTCCCTCATCTTAGGTATACATACTCATTGTTTTCACTAAACCTGCTTTCTGAAATAAAGCCCTGCACCCTCAACTACATAGACTAAATAAATTGTGTCTGACTATAAGGTTGATATTTTCAAAGGAAGAAATATACAAGACAGCTTTCATTAAAGTCGGGGCTTCACATCTGTACAGATGTTATTTTAAGAATTCTCACATCTCTCTGATCACCAGTCTCAGTGATGCTAAATACTAGAAATTAGAATTAACTTTCAAATCAGAGTAACAGAACTTAAATCTCTGAAATTCAACAAAAAATGTTTATATAAAACATACTGAGTCAACATCAAAACCAACAGGCTGTTAGATCGGGCCAGAGCCAGGCGTTTCTTCTTATGCCCTGGGTCTTAGTCAGTGGAGTAATTGCAGCGCCTCGCTCCCGCAAGATTATCCCTGTCCACTTTCATATGAGCAAGTCAGGGTGATATCGGGTCGTCCACCAATCAGAAGATCAGCAGGTCGATCCCCCACTCCTCCAACCTGCATGTCAAAGTATCCTTGAGCAAGATACTGAACCCCAAATTGCTC